CTGCCAAGTACAATGACAATATATCTAGTAAGAATTGCTTTCACCCAGTTTGTTCCAGCTTCTTGATTTGGGCCCATCACATGCCCCAGCTGTGGATGAAACAGCTCATGGGATGTTGCAGGTGTACAAATTCAGCAAGAGGCCAATGGGAGCTCTTTCCATGGGGCTGGATAGGGCCAGCCTTGCTCAGGGACAAGACAAGAGGTCCAAAGCAGATGGGGCAACATCATTCATCTTTACTGCCAAAAGTGACCGCATTTCTGGGTATTTATGAGATTTTTTCAGCCCCCCACCCCCCAGGTGAGGAGCTCTTTCCCCTACCCCTGGAAAAGTGTCATATTTTACTAGCCAGGCTTCTTGCCAGCAGCGTGCAGGCCACCACAGGCACAGGCAGGGTCTCCCCTGTTTTTGCAGCCATGTGTGGCAAGGAAATACAGCGCTGCAGAAGGGGCCTCTGTGCCCCATCTCCCTGCTGCTCCCACGGGAGGGCAGAAGTGCTGTTGCATTTACACCAGCAGGATGCATTAGCGGCTTTTTTTTTTTTTTTTTAAAATAAAACTTTCCCTGCAGCTAGATGGAGCCAGTGCAGTATTAGTGTGCAATGGGCCTTTGCTCAGGCTTGAGCTATTTCTGACACCCTCCTCCACCCGGGGAATTTGCTGAGCTCTTCTCAACCAACCCTCCCAGAAATTCCTGCTTGCTCTAACCCTAGGGATGCCATAGGACTATACTGAAATAGCTCATGTTGCAAAGATGACGCATGGGTAGAAAGTTTTATCCTGGGTTGTATTACTATGATAGAAGCCAACAAGGGAAGGCATTATTTTAGGAGCCAGGCCTACCTTTGCAGGGCTAGTGATCCCCAGTCATCAAGCTATACCCATACCTTACCTAATCATTTAAAGAACAGCTGGACAGAGGAGTAGCAAAGGTGGCCCCGTGCATGCCAGCTCTCTTGCTTTTTAAAAACTTATCTATATGCACACACTTCTGGAGCAAAGAATAATCCAGCATGGTCCTGAGGAGTCCCCTTCTGAAAGGGTCTTTTCCCCTGCTCACAGCTATTTCACAGTAATACACCTTTGGTGTTAAACACTGGGTGTTTTTTCAAAGAAGCACACTTGGGAACAACTACTTAGCTCTGGACCCATCCATCTACTTACACCTGTCTCCACCTCTTTCCTCCTGTTATATTTTTGGCATCTTTAATATGTGTCAAATTTTCAACAGAAGAATAATAGTCCTGAATGAGAGGCTTGGGAACAGCCAGCCGAGAATGTGATTAAAGGACCAACTCCGCGGCATTGCACAATGAGGATCTGCACTCATGGTGCAGGGCTGCTTTGGGCATTAGTACCATGCAGTGCAGTTGTCTCCCTTTTTTCTTAAATTCCTTCTTTTATAAAAAGGATTCTATTATTTATTCACATTATGAAAGTTGAGGCTATCCCAAGCTCAGGTGAAAGCAAAAGGCAGCATTAAATTATCATTAAAAATGATAGAAGGTTCCAGGTCAAGTTGGCTATTGCAGATAAAGCTACTATCACCTCCCGTTAGTGACTGGGACTGAGAGCCAAGTGTTTCCATTACACACCAAGTAAGAAGCACTTTATAAATCACAATAACTCCTGACATGCAATAACATCCAGTCTTATTAATATAAACTGCAGGGACTTTTTTTAAAGTCTGCTGGCAGTAAAACCACCCCTTCCATAAAACGTTGGCATTCACACATGCCCTGCAGCTTCTCACAGCACCTTTAAGCACTAAAGATGTTCATTACCTCATACAATGAAAAAAAAGAAAGTGGGATTATATCACCACTTCAAAATACTTTCCCCTACCTCTTCCTAAATGTGAGTAAAGTTAGAAGGTGCTAGTTGTAGGCATCCCCAAAACCCACGGAGATACCCAGCTTAGAGCAGCCAGCCCTGGTCCAGCACCACAGTGTCTCCACTCTACTGATGTGCCACTGGTTTAGCACCCTGGAACACAGGTAGGTCCAAATACTCTGAATTAGGGCAGAAGAGCATTGCTCTCCATGCTTGCTTTCTCTTTCCATTTAGAGACAGCTGGGTTTTATTTTATTATTGTGTTGGAAAGGACTGCAATTCGGTCCAAGCAGCTTTTCCACACATGCCCTCGTCCCTGCTACCTTAGGGGTTGCAGGTGGGATCTCCTGTGCTGCAGGGAAAGGGCTGGAGGTTCCCAGAAACCGTCCAAACCCCTTCTTTCCCCAAGGAGCTTCAGCCAAGGCAACAATGTTTTAGCTCAGGTCCCCATTGCTGAGTGATGGCAGGGGGGTCCATGGCCACCAGGATCCCACAAACTGCCAGCCTCCTGCCATCCTTCCTCCTCCATCACTCTCCCTGCCACTTACCTGGGAGCTCATCTGTGCTCAGTGCCCATAGCATGAAGTCCTCCACCCTAGTGAGCATTTCCCTAACACAAATAAGTATCATCACAAGAAACATTGCCCTCTGGTGCAGGAGGGACATGCAAGTCCCCTGCAAGGGGAAAATCAGAGTTAACCACAAAGAGACAACTGGGATAGAGACAGCACCATGACCTCACTGGACTTCCTGCATCCATCCACCAAACAAACAGCTCTTTGTGGTACATACGCACAGCAAACATCTTGCAAGAGGCAGATGGTGTTGCAATATAAACACTAGGATAGAGAACAGCTCTGTGAGATACCATTTTTTTATCTTGCAAAAAGGGGGCTTTTTTTGAGGTTCCCCCCTTTCTGATTCAGGAGAACACACCACTATCAAAGCAGAGAGTTGGTGGTGCTTCTCTAGATTAGCCAACACCAAAGAAAGCAGGAAAGAGATCTGAGCCCAAATTGAGCAACAGAAGGGCTTAGCACAAGCTTTCCAGCATACCAGAGAGCCCCACCATTACCAACCTGTCTGAGGAGTTTCTCTTCTTGGTGAAGTCTTTCATCAGACAATTTCTGACCAGCCCAGCTGCTACCTTCCTCCTAAGAGCCTCACCAAACCCATCACCCCTGCTTAAATACACCTTGTGTTATAGTTAAAATGCTCATCAGGTGTTTATTTTACATAGTTTTGTGCCAATGCACCACAGCTGGGCGTCACGTGTACTAGCTCTGAATATTGATAAAGATACAAGAGGAAAGACCAGCCCTAAATTTCTGCTATTTTCAAGTGACTTTTGACGAGATCTGTCAGGAATGGCAGGATCACTTTGGAGGTCTGTTGTACCAATAGCTGCCTGTTGTGCATTATGCGTTGGGGAGGTACTAGCTGTAGTATCGTTTGTAAATAAACAAATTACTTGCTCGTGATTGGGAATGCTCCAATAAGGGCACTCTTAAAAATGTAATTAGGAATAACCCATTTTACAGTAAACTTTTGAAACTTATTGACGCACATCTGAAAGCCGATCTGCCTGCTCTGCTGCCTGTGGAAACGGCAGATTCTGCTTACACCCTCCCTAACGTACGCGCAGCCGTGCCCAGTTTCTCTGTTTCTGTTGATCGCCAGGGCCTCTCCGCGCGGCACTTGGTTTGCAGCTCCACGGCTCGTTCCTCCCCGCGCTGGCGGCTCCCGCACCGCGCACAGCGAGGGGCTCCCCGGCGTCGTTGAAACGTTGTCGGGGACGCAGCGCGCAAATGCCGCGGCGCAGGCGCAAACATCGCTACAAGCTTCATCTGTAATGTTAAACATTACAGGTGCTTTTTCGGGCAGTTTATTCTTTCTTGCTGCAGGAAATAAAACGTGTTTCCTAGCCGCACCGTGATGAAAAAGAGATTTTAGCACTAACTGGATGAAAGAAAAAATAAGTGTAGAAAGGGGAGAGGATTAACGCGTGGAAGCCCCGTGGGTCTCCTCAGGAGAGCAGGCGTTGGCCCGCGCTCCTCACCCCCCACCCCTCCGTCAGCGCCTGCGCTTCACGCCGGACCCGGCGCCGCGCCAGCGCCCTTCCCTCAGG